GTTCTCCAAAACAGACCATATACTAGCTCACAGAACATGCTTAAGTAAATGCAAAGGAACTGAAAGTACCCCATGCATATGATCAGCCATAGTGCAATGAAACTGGAAATCAATGGTAAGAGAAATCACAAACACTGCATAAACAAATGGAACTTAATACCCTCCTGAACAACCAATGGGTCACAGATGAAATTAAAAAGAAATTAGACAGTCTCTATAATAAAATGATAATGTCAATACAACATACTGGAACTTATGGGAGACAATGAAAGAAGTCCTATGAGGGAAATTGATAGTGGTGAATTCTCATATCAGAAAAACAGAGCAAGCTCAAGTAAACAACCTAATATTAAATCTCAAACTTCTAGAAAAAGAAGAGCAAGTCAAGCCCAAAGCTCGTATGAAGGAAGAAATTATAAAGATTAGAGCAGAGATTAAATGCAATGGCAACTAAGAAAACAATTCAAAGAATTAATGAATCAAAGAATTGGTTCTTTGTTTTGTTTTTCGTTCTTTGGCTTTTTGAGACAGGCTCTCACTATGTAGTTCAGGCAGGCCTTGAATTCACTATGTAGCCTATGCTGACCTAGAACTCACAGAGATCCTCCTGCCTCAGTCTCCTGAGTACTGAGATGACAGCCATGTGGCACCACACCTGGCAAGGGTTGGTTCTTAAAAAGATTAAAATTGACAGACCATTAGCCAACCATACCAAAAAAAGAAAGAAAAGACTCAAATCTATGCAATTAGGAATGAAATGGGTGAAATAAAAACACATCCTGCAGAAATCTAGAAAATTATCAACATCTACTTTGCAAACCTGTATTCTAATAACATGGAAAATGCAGAAGAAATACGCAAATTCCCAGATACATATGAATTACTAAAGCTGAATCAAGAAGATATAAAAATTTTAAATTAAAAAAAATTTTAAATAATACAGTATCAATCAATGAAATTGAAGATGTAATTAAAACTCTACCAACAAAGGAAAACCCTAGCTCCT